TTGCTCCAAGAAACCTGGGAAAATTAGTTTTGAACTTATTTTGTATTTTATATCCTCTACAAACTCATTAAAAAATAGTAGAAGTGCATTTTTCTAATTATCTCAATTTTTTCAAATGAAAAGAACATGGCTCATTACAATATTCCAAAAGAGCGTTTTCTAACGAGCAATTCAGTACCACACAATCGCTAGTTCATCACTCAAATGAAGAATTTTCCTAGCATTCTAAATATTTTTGGAAAATTTTAGTTCAATATTTTAATAAACTAGCGACTGTGTGGTACTAATTTATTTCTTAGAAAATGCTCTCTCGGAATATACTAATCAGCCATACCCTTTCCATTTGAAAAAATTGATATAATTCAAAAAATGCGTTTCTGCTATCTTTAAATGAGTCTGTTGAGGATATAAAATACAAAATAAGATCAAAACAATTTTTTTTCTACTGACGTTTCATAATAGCAACTTTTCGATTGTCATTTCAGTTTTGAAACGACATTCTTTTAGGCACTGAGTGCGTGAAAGTTACTTTTAGGCACTCAGTGCGTAAAAGTGACTTTTGAATGCGTAAAAGTGACTTATGAGTGCGTAAAAGTAATTTTTAAGCACTAGTGCCTAAAAGTGTCATTCATTATTCAGAAATAAAAAACACACTAAACACATATTTGAATTTTGTTTTGTATTTATTATGAATATTGAAAATGGAATTACTGAATTGAACGTTTGGGTTACTCAAAACAGAAGTTTGTGTTATTACCTACTTTCTAGGATTTTAATTATTGATGTCGAATTTTGAAAAGAAAATCGCATGAAAAGTGTCAGGTGTCAAGTAAAAGCAGGGTAACAAAGATTTTGGGTGTAATCGACTTATTCACATGAAATAAAATTGTGTTTTTCTATTATAAAATGCCAGTAGAAAAAATCTTGTATACAATACGTTACGAAACGATGTCTTTTAGTCACTCGACGTGTTGTCCAACTCGGCTTTGCCTCGTTGGACAATTTTCACGTCGCGTGCCTAAAAGACGCTCATTTCGTAACTTATTGTATAAATAGCTATTTTCAGGTTCCTTGGAGCAAAATTAAGCATTTCATTCATGGCGCTCTAGATTAAAAAGTAAAAATTTAAATAATCTGGAGATGAAATGGCAAAAGTGACAAATGAGGTGTCATTGTACTCGTAATGTAGTTTTCTATTGAAATAAGGGAAAATATACCTGGCGTCCCATTTAAAATAAGAAAGTTACGGACACTTCCGGTCAAACCGAAAGTGATAATAAATAATTGAATACGTTCCAAAAGGACGATAAGTCTTTCTTTCTGTGTAGGAGCAAAAGTACATACTTTCTCCCAAAAATAAGGAAAAAACTACTTTTCCTAATTTTGAGGTAGAAAACTTTTATCCAATGACGTCAAATAATGCACATCCGGGTCATAAATAAATACATCAAATTTCATTTGTTTATTCGGAAAAATAAAAAAATTATAGTGAGCGGGTTTTGAAAAACACCCGGTATATGATTTAATTAAGCTGTTTTGGAAATATCGGGGTCTAAACTTCAAGAAAATAATACATTGAAACACGTCAGCTCTGTTCCAATCGACATGAGAACCGAATTAAAACGAGTCGAATCAATTCATTTGTCAATTAGGATAAACGTTCATCTTATTGAAAAATAGGTGGGAAACTGGAAATTACCGTTCTAGAACGGTTCTCATGTCGGTTGGAACAGTGGATGTGTTTGAATGTATTATTTTATTGAAGTTTAGACCCCGATATTTCCAAAACAAATTAATTAAAAGTATGTAAACCATATACCGGGTGACAATGAAACTACTACCCACGGCAGCATTTCTTAACGGCTCGAGATAGAAATATGCAACTCGGTTTGTTGATAGAGTTAAAAATTGTGAACAATTTTATAATAAAAACAATTGAATGTCTTTTCCGGTTTCACTGGAAATGCCATTGACTTTGTTATTTTAAATGAGACACCCTGTATATTTTTTTTTTGGACTCTGAACAATTCTAAATAACTTTTATCTAACATACCCTATGTTAAAAATTGATAGTTTTTGAAATAAAGTGGCTCAATAATATGTCGTGATCCCTATTTGCTTGTATTTTACGTAAAAACTGCCATTTCTGGTAAAACCGGAAAAGACATTCAATTGTTTTTATATTAAAATTGTTCACAATTTTCAACCCTATCAACAAACCGAGTTGCATATTTCTATCTCGAGCCGTGAAGAAATGCCGTCATGGGTAGTAATTTCATTGTTACCCGGTATATTTCAAATCAGAAAATTCGACTCTTTCCAACTATGAAGTCATATATAGGGTGTTCCATAAGAAAAAACTGACCATCTGTGAAAATTTGACATTTCTAAAAAAAAAAAAAAAAAAATTGACATCAGATTCAAAAATTTCAGGTCAAACCCCGAAACATTTTTACAATTTTTTGATATCTCTTCACATAACGCCTGTAGTGGGGGGTCAATATTATGAAGAAAGACCCTGTACACTATAATTCCAAGGTGGTTTAACCTTCGGCATAGTGTAATTAACAGTGCCTGCTGATTTCTATTTCTCCTATTTTGTTACTGTTTCAAAGGGTATTTAAACAAATTACCAGTTTCTAGAAGAGCGTGAGACGCCAAAGGTACTAATGTAAATTTATTTTACTTTAATGGTGATTTGGTTACGAATTAATTTAATTACAGCATTTGAAACTGGCTGTAAGATCAACAGGATGTTCTGAATAAGGATGTACTCTACAGGGATCTCTGTAACCATAAGAGCATTACTGAGCTCAGTGGCGTCATGTTTTGATATTTCGGAAATTCCGAATGATTCCGAAGATATCCATAAAAAACCGAATTTTGCTGAAATCGTTTTTATTTTTTTCTGACTATTTGAAATGATATCGCAAAATAAACTTCACATTCTCATTGTCACTTTTTCTCCGCTACATGATAATGTTATTAGATTTTTTGATCAGTCGTTTCGTTTCTTCGCGATCATCAACTTTGTTTTTTCAAATAGGCGAAATTTTTTATTTTATGCCTAAAAAATTCTACTTTTTATTCTAAATTCAACGACATGTCAAGCTCATAATTCCAGAAATATTAATTGCCTAGTTGAAAAGTGAATAGACTTCATTCTTAAGAAATCCTCACAAGACAGAATCCATCGGTGTAATGTCTGGAGATCGCGGAGGCCTGTTAATGGAACCACAAGTGGCAATTAATATTCCTGGAATTATGAGCTTGATATGTCGTTGGATTTAGAATAAAAAGTAGTGTTTATTAGGCATAAAATAAAAAATTTCGACCATTTGAAAAAACAAAGGTGATGATGATCACAAAGAAACGAAACGTCTGATCTAAAATCTAATAACATTATCATGTAGTGGAGAAAAAGTGGCAATGAGAATGTGAAGTTTATTTTGCGATATCATTTCAAATAAAGTCAGAAAAAAAAAAACGATTTCAGCAAAATTCTGTTTTTTATGGTTATCTTCGGAATTTCCGAAATATCAAAACATGTCGCCACTGAGCTCAGTAATGCGCAACTTTTTATCAAATTCAACCAACCCTGTATCTCATCTCTTATGGTTACCAGGATCCCTGTAGAGTGCATCCTATCTGGGACTCCCTGTAGAGTTTCATGTTTGGTTAGAATAACAATTAGGAGAAATTAGAATTATTCCCATTGTAACAAGGAGAAAGTTCTACAATTTAGTTTTTCTTGCCATTCAATAACAACTTGGGTAAATAGTTCTTCTGTCTGTCTGTTCAACACCAGGTCAAATCAAAATTATTGGTTTGAACCACTGAAGGAAGCATTTTTTACTTTAACGACAAGTAGTATTTCAGTGTTTTGGGACTAAAAAATTAACTTAATTTCCAAAAGGACGATAAATCTTTCTTTCTGTGTAGGAGCAAAAGTACATACTTTCTCCCAAAAATAAGGAAAAAACTACTTTTCCTAATTTTGAGGTAGAAAACTTTTATCCAATGATAGCCATAACCTCAGAGTAACACTATGCCACATTTGTGCATGCCTCTTTAAATGAGTCCCAGCCCACCTGTTGTAAAATGTTCATCGGTCAAAGTAAAATTCCTCCAAAATGATGAAAGTGGACTAGAAGTTTTTTAAATCGTACCAATATTTGGTTAAATGAATTAATGAAGGTTGTAGAAAATAATGGTTTAATAAGCTTAATTATCTATAAGTTGCAAATAAGATTATGGATCATTGGTTAATTTTGCTTTATGTGAAGCCTATTTTTATTTCAGGATGGTAGTGATTTAACTAATAAGCTCTTAAAAGCCCTATAATAATATTTGTGATATATCTAAGAAGGTACATACATAATTAGTTTAGGATTGAATTAAAAAAAGAGCTATTTGCTTGATTGCATCAACAGGTGAGATTTATACTTAACAATAGTTTGCCTGCTTGAAATCTTTAATGCAATCAGCGCGTAGTGATCTCCAACTTAGTTGTTAATGTAGTTTTATGCCATTAGTCACACAAAACATTTCCAATCTGTAAACCAATCTTAATAACCTAATACACCATATAAAAAAATATCTGTAAACATTATCCAAAAAGTGTCGAACTAACCACAAAAGGAAATGGATGGCAAGGATTGAGACAACTCTGGAGCATCCTGAAAAACCTTAGTGGAAAAAAAAAGAGAAACTTGCATCCATCATATACATTTTTGTACATTTAATTATTAATTTGAGAGCTTGTTTTAGATTCCAGAAGGGCCATAATTTCACCCTGAGAGGAAATATGGAAATAACATTAGCAGAAAGGTAATAACGGTACAAAACCTAATTCAGGTAACATAATTATAAAGAAAACTGAAATTTTAAACCATAAAAGTAAGTTGTCGCTTCAGAAAGAAATTATTGCTAAGTAATTTGAAGTGAGAGAGTACTCTCAAAAACCGATTAGTTGCCAACATTTTTTGCTTTTTCTACAGAACGATACAGCCTGTAATATTGGACCAGAACTATATCCATCTGAAAAATTTGGTCATAAAAGCCGAGAGGAGAGTCCTGAAAGAATTGGGATTTTGTGTACATATTAAACATCCACATAAGGTAAGAACTTTACTGATAGATTCATAATTGGTCCCATGTAAGTTTCATTTCTACATGAAGTCTAGTTTTAATAGAATTTTTTGAGGTTCTTCAAAATAGAAAAGTCCAAATTTATCTGTGCGTTTTTTTTTTTTTTGTAACAATATAAAATTAGCCTAATCTGACTTTGCAGGCAAGCCAATTGTGAAAAATCATATAATATCTACCACTGCAAATTTGCAAATAGTATATGTTCTCCGTAATTCTTATTAATCTTTATACAGCAGACAGCTTTATTGAGCAAATCATTGGATATTGGAATATCTTTTCAACTGTTTATCCAAGAGTGGTTTTTATTTTTCCAAAAAAAATAAACCAAAAACTTTTTAATTGCCAGCAATACCTGCAAGTCATTAAAATCTATACCTCAGTTCACCAAAATTTTAAATTATAAAATATAGATTAAAAACACCTTATACAAACCATTGTTTTCTTTCCAGATCATTGTCATGTATCTACAAGTATTAGGCTTTCAAAACAACCAAAAACTAATGCAATATTCCTGGAACTACATGAACGACTCCCTAAGAACTGACGTGTTTATGCGACACCAACCTGAAACTGTGGCCTGCGCCTGTATCTACCTCACTTCAAGGAAACTCAAGTTACCCTTACCGAAAAATCCTCATTGGTACACGATTTTCGGAGCGACAGAAAAGGAAATACGTGATATTTGCATTAGGATATTGAAGCTGTATAATAGGCCCAAACCAAACATCGAGGATTTGGAAAAGCAAGTGGACGAATTGTGTGAAAAATACAAGAACGTAAGGGCCAAAGCTAAGGCGGTTAGTGGGAATGATTCACCTAGTAATAACGGGCAGGAGCCTCAGAAGAGTCAAAAGACTTCGGCGCATAATGCTTGGGGTGGTTTCATTAGTCGTTCTGGTAGTCACATGCCGCCACCGTCTGTAAACGAAAAAAGATCGAGATCAAAAACAAGATCACCCGATAAAAGGCATAAAAAAGTTAAAAAGCAACGTTCCAGAACCAGGTCCCCTAAAAACCATAAGAAAGCCTCCCACAAAAGAAAAAGCTACTCAAGGTCCAGAAGCAAGTCACCAAAGGCCAAAAAAAGGGACAGAAAACGTAGTAATAGCAACGAACGTGAGGCTAAAAAGGATCGTTACATTGATCGTTATGACGACAAAGATCGCAAGTATAAAGATGATAGAGATAGCAAACACAAAGAAGATAGAGATAGCAAAAACAAAGACTACAAAGATAGCAAAAGCAAAGAAGACAAAGACAGCAAATACAAAGAGAATAAAGACACTAAGTACAAAGAGGATAGAGATAGCAAATATAGAGAAGATAGAGATAGCAAATACAAAGAAGATAGAGATAAGGATCGTTATGATCGTAGAGATAGGGACTCCAGTAAGTATGATAGAGATGAAAAACACAGCAGGGATAGAGATGACAAGCATAGAAGTAGAGATGACAAATATTCATCCAGAGATAGAGATGATAAATATTCTAGGTATGAGAAACATAAAAAATCATCAAAGCACAGAGATAGTTCAGAGAGTAGATCAAAAGATAGGCGAAGAAGGAGTTAGAAAAAAATGGATGTACATAGTCTTTTAGTCTCAAACATTAAACAGGGCCTTTTTTAATTTAGTTGGACAGTTTTTTTTCCTATGTCACATGTAAAAATATTGTATCCTAAATCTGTAAGAAAGAAGTATGAAAATTATTTGTAAATAGTACGTTTAAGGATCTATAAAATATATTTTTTTTTATTTGAATTGTTTCGGCTTTGTTTCATTGTACTTCAAGAATTATCAAAATGTTTCCATATACCTGCAATTTCAATAGGAAGGAAAAGGGAAGAGGATAGCTCAGTAAATACTCGAAGAACCGAATGTCCAGTTGAGCGTGAGGACTATTTTTCCATACAATTCCAAATATCATCAGGCTGTGGAACAGAGCAAAATAATGGTATTTTTAGAAGCTGCGCAATCTGCAGAACTGAAAATTCCCAATAATTTAGTTCTTTTTGATTCTTTCCAATTTTGAAGTAAAATATAGAACTACTGTAAAGACCATAGAAAATAGTGTTGCGATTAGTAATTTTATGGAAGGACGTACCTGCGTAATGTTTTGAATTCAATGAGAAATATGTTTCAATAATTATTTTAATTAGAATTAATCACGAGGCAGCTTTTCCCAGATATTTTTGAGAAATTTCTAATATGTTAGCAAAAATCTTAATGTCAACTACTTTCGCTTCAGTTTCGGTCAAGTGATGGCAACTTTATAATCTTTATGGCATTTTTCGTTATAAAATTGAATTGTTAAGGCTATGTTAAAGAAAATTATAAAGTGGAACATAAAATGACGTGACTTATTACCTGGGTAAAACCTCGTGGGACACTCCGTATAAAATTTTTTGGGTGACTGTAATGAATACGAGATATTTCCTCTATCTCTATTGACGTTCCCTCTCTATTAATTTCGAAAAGAGGGAAAAAGACAGCAAGTGCCATAGCGATACAGATAATGATGTCTATCCGTTACAGAGTTCCAGCTTTCTGTGGAGGCATAATAACTGGGTGCAAAAAACAAGACAATTTTTTTCTCAATTATATATAATTTGTGCATAATAATAAACAATTATTTCTCAATCAACAGTTAATTTCTTGAAAGTCCCATCGAATCCAAATAAACTGTCGGCATTTTTTCTGGGTCCTATTCGTTTTTTCTCGTCAACGACCATGGTGTCTTGGAAGTCGAAGAACCATTGATTATCGAACATTGCTTTTTTATAAATTTCTAGAAAAATACGTTTTATTATTTCAGTTTAGGATTAATATAATATATTTTTATTTTAGTTTAGAATTAATATAATATGCCTATTATTACCATGTTGGATAGCAACACTTTCTTCATTACCACCATAATCGGTTGGCAAAATTTCCTGTGGCACATATTTATAGAAATTGTTGATATTTGAGTGAATATGAATCTAAAATAATTAGGTTTTGATGCATTATCATTCGGTAGTTACTTTAGTTGATTTACCTTTTCAAACATTTCCTTATTGATAAAGGGTTTTAATATGGCCATTAGTTTATCCATAAATGGTACTGGGTTGATAAAGTGTATTGCCATAAGTCTTATGGGCATTGCCGTCTGAAAAAGATATCATAAGTATTTAACATTTGATTGATACCGCAAATTTTTCTCATCAGTGCTTGACAATCCATTACTTATTGATAACTGAAAGTTATTACATAAAAATACAAATTCATCTTGCGGTTTCTGTCGGAGACAGGGTGTCCCATTTTGGTTGCTATTGGAGTTTCCAGTGAGTTTAATAGTACCTATATAGGGTGTCTCATTTGAAAAAAATATATGTGTTGTTTATAATTTAAAACCCCCCTCTATGAGAGAGGAGATAGAAGAAGTGTCCCAAAATGCAACATTTTCAAAAACATCTTCCACCTGAAAAACCAAAAGGGCGATGACAGTTCTGTTGACAGCATTCTTCTTTGACAAAAAAGAAGCTAACGTAAGTGAAAACCGCATCTTTCTAACTACAATAGCACCCAAGTTATCCCTTATGTACAACAACATGGAACACCCTGTCAATAACAAGTATCCATTTCGATATTACTTTAGGCAGGTATACAAGGCCAAAAGGTTATCATGCATTCCTAGAATAATTAATACACGTGGACAGTTTTAATCATATTACATGACATCAAATTCATTCAATCCAATAATTAAAGCTACCTAATGTTATAAAGTAGTGAGCAGTCATTTTTTTTAACATAGGACCTATGGACTCTATCCTAGACCCTAACATGAGATCATCCTCATAGAAAAGACGAAAACACATACCTGCAAATAAACCAAAAACTTTTTATATTCGCTCAAATTCAGTTTGGTAATGTGACCGAAAACGCCCCCTTTCATGTCCAGAATTCCAACAAAACCATTAGCGGGGCCTTCTACATGAACGTGTCTCATTACGTGCATATCAAACAGTTTACTGTCAGTTTGAGGATTGTAAAGATTTGGATTTGTGTCAATCAGTTTTGTTAGGATTACTGTGTAGCCTTCTTTCGTTTTTTTCGGTAGAATGCCTAGAAGCCTAAAAATATACAATTATCAGACTCAATACCTACACTTTTGAAATATAAAATTCTCGAATAGTCGGCTATAGTGACTCTAGGGATAAAAATACGCTTTATCTTTCTATACAGATGAGTATCATTAATATAAATCCCGAACTGAGAAATTCTGTATGCTTTGTTATACCTACCATAATATTTTATTGTGTAGTGAAATATTTTTTCTTTTTTTTTCTTTTTTTTTCTTTTTTCAATTTATTTATTTCAGACCTTAAAACAGTACAATACATACTGGCACCAAGGCCTTCAAAAACTAACAGTTATTATAAGTACATATTACTACATATTAAGTAGATAATAATAAATTACAGGAATATATTCCTTCAAAAACTATCTTTAATATACTTTTTCTGCGATTGACAAGAAATGTCAGCATTTTTGACCGATTGACAGGTCGCAAAACTCAATAATCTGGTATTTCAATTATGTTTCAATAGTTGCTAAGGAATCAATGAATAACAATACGGGAAACACTTTTCCGGCCTAGGCCGGGAAAGTGATTCTTGTATTGCTGAATAATTGGAACAAAAAGACAAAAATTTAACAGATATTTAACCGGTCGCAGAAAAAATAGCATGTGTATTTCGGTGGAAAAGCACATTCTCGGCCTTCGATGTTTGCCGGCCTCGGCTACGCCTCGCCCGTCAATTTACACCGTCGGCCGAGAATGTGTCACTTTTCCACCTAAATACACAATATACTATTTTGTCATACGCTCCCAAAAACAGCTATTTTACGGACTTATTCAAGTCCGTAAAATGCTTCTTTTTAGGATTTTTTTTTTCTTTCTGGATGCACCTTTATGATTTCAAAAATTAAGGAAATTTTGAAAATTTTAGCGTTCTGAAGAATTCTAAAAAGCGTATGACAAAAAATAGTGTTTGTCACACGTACCTAACGAAGTTTTTCAGGACTCATCTGCTATTCCGGACTCGGCTAACGCCTCGTCCGGAAACGGCAATGATTCGTCCTGAAAAACTTCATTTTAAGTACTTGTGACAAAAATAAGTATTTTCAGGTTACGGCTCACTTTCGATTGACTTCCTATAAAATTAACTTTGGGTATTTTGTTGAATGTCTGTACACTTCGGTAAACTGGAGAGTCCTGTCCCTTTTTTGTCCTAACATGGGTATTCCTAATGTCTGTATTTGTCCTTGTGTTATACGTATGGTATGCATTTGTTTCCCTCAGAGTTACATTTGTTTTGAGCAAACTTTTTTTCATACACTGTATTAGCTTGCTTTGTTCTAGGCATTTCAATTGTCTGATATTCAAAAATGGAAATTGCTGATGTAAGTGTTCACTGGGGGTTGACCACACAAATGAAAATATTGCTTTTATGGCTTTGTTTTGTGTTCTTTGTAATTTATCCAATAGGTATTCACTGGCATTTCCCCAACACGGAACTAAGTACCTGAGATGTGGTTCAATAAAACTGTTGTATAGTATAGTCCGACAAATACCATTTTAAAATCACGTGATATTAGTGGCAAAAAACGTATGTTCATTGATTATGTCGTCGATATCACCTACAAAAAGCTACTGGTGGTTAATTACTATTAAATTTTAAGATATGTTCCCACTAGCATTTTACAAACGCGTTTCTGAAGTAGTATTGACCAATCAGATGGGAATTTTAATACTTGCAATTGTTGCGAGACTCACTTTTGTCGTTTCTGCTGCCCTTTGTAATACATTCTGAACTTGAATTGGGTACCAGTTTTCTATTTGCTTCTTTTCGAGTTGGAAAAAGGTTAATATAGTCAAAATTATTAGCTGTGTTTGTTCGTTGTATCATTTTCCAAAATTTCTTTGACAAATTAATTGATGACAGTGGCGGATTCTATTTCAGGTAAGAATATTATGAACAATAATTAGACACCAAATTTTTTGTCAATTTTGCTATCACCGCTGTTTGAGATGTATTCAACAAGGATAGAGAAAAATCACGTGACTTTAAAATGGTATTTGTTGGACTATAAATACCTTGTGTTTTTATTTAGTTGATGCGCACACCTTTTTACTGCCCCTATGAACGGTACTACTTTTTGAATCACGCTTTCAATGTGAGTCTCCCATGACAGATTACTTGTAATTAGAAGACCCAAATATTTTTATTCACTTTTTTTAAAGTAGTATCATTTATTTTAATATGATGTTGATTAGTCTTTTTTCCTTTTTGGGTGACTGTCAAGTACACGGTCTTTTCAATGTTTATGCTTAATTTGTTATAGCATAGCCAATCATAGGACATTTTAAGATCCTTATTTACAATGTCTTCAACCATTTGACCATCTTCACTTGTATATACTAAAACGGTATCGTCAGCAAACATAAAATACTTTGCTTGAAGTCCGATAAATTTCATACTATGAACATAAAGTAAGTCTTGTAAGGGTCCCAAAACTGATCCCTGAGCTACACCAACTTGTACACCCGCCTTACTACTAGATATATCATTTACAACTGTGTATTGTTCTCTGTTCTTTGAATATGTTTCCAACAGTTTGTAGGTAATTCCTCTGCATCCCATATTATACAATTTATTGAGGAGGATGTCGATATTGACTGTATCAAAGGCCTTCTGAAGATCAATGAACACCAATACTGCAATCTTGTTTTTGTCAATTTCGTTTGATACATATTCCAGAAGATCTACAGTAGCACCCGAGGTACTACTGTTTTTCTGAAACCCATACTGCCCATTATCAAATTTAAAGGACCCATTGATAAAACCTATTAGTCTGGTTTTAATGACTCTTTCAAGTACTTTGGAGAAGGTGCTTAGCAGGGATATTGGTCGGTAGTTATTTAGCTCATCTTGAGCGCCTTTTTTATGCAGTGGTATGACTTTAGCGATCTTCAGCTCTTGTGGATAAATACCTGTTTCAAGGATTTTATTGATCATTTTCACCATTTTCTCTCCAATTATGTGGAATAATTTTAAGAGATCGGACTTTGTCACATTGTCCATTCCTGGAGCACAGTTGTTCTTAAGAACAGTTATTATTTCTTTAATTTCATTTACATCAGTTAGGATAAGGAATATACTTTCATTTATCAATTGTTCTTCAAATTGTCTCTGGGGGTCTTTTATGCCTGAAGCAAGAGTACAGCCAATATTTGAAAAATGTCTATTGAATTCATGAGCTATTTCTGTGTCGCTTTCCAGTTTTCTACCATCTGTCGCTATAATTTTGTGAATTTTGCTTTTGTGTCCACTTTTACCACATAAATTATTTAAGACTTTCCAGACTTTTTTATGATCGCCATTTGTTTCTTGGAACTGTTTTTCTGCATACCTTTTTTTGTAAATAACGTCTCATATTGTTTAGTTTATTTTTTGCTTTTTTGAACTTCTTCTCGGTGTGATCATTTTGGATTCTCTTCCATCTTATGTATAATTTGTCTCGTTGCCTAAGCATCTTTATGTATGAGTCATTTATCCAATAATTTTTTGTTTGTGTTCATGCAACTTTGTTATTTTATATATTCATTCAAAAATACGAAAGAAAAAACCGTTAAAAGCCATACAAGTTCAAATCAAAATTGGCACCGCTCGCGCAGACTCGGCGTATGTGAAAAATATGTGATTTATGAGAAGGAAGCAGGAAGCAGTACGAAGTCGTGTCTCTAAAACCACGTCCGCTTTTTCGGTCGTTAAAAAAAAATCAAAAACCTATCGAATTCAAGGCAAAAATTCCTTATTATTATTTCTAAGACTGTGTTGTATCAGTGTGTCGCTGAGAAGCAGACTTTCTGGACACGAGGAGCTCCTCTGGATCGACGAAAACCAGCGTAAACCAAGTAAGTGCCAATCCTCCATTGTCTTTGTATGGCTCGGGTATATGTCCATTAATATTTGTGCGGCAAAATTGAATTTAGCGCTACAGTCCCGCTGCTCTTTAAACTTTCAAAAACCTAACGCAAATTTTCGTGAACAGTTTGTATTTTAAGTATTTTTTCTGATATATGTTCTTTTTTGGTTTCTTTTATGATATTAGCAAGCTGTTCAAATGTTTCTATATTTTCTTGTTCATGCCTCAAACCCACACTATGTAACCATGCCTCTGTATTTAGGTGAACTTTCTTAAAAATTTCCTTCTCTTTACTGAATGTCATTTTTTTTACTTCTATGTAAACTATTTTATGATCAGATATTGAATTATCTGCTAATGTTAGATTGCAAATAATATTCTTGTTTGTTATGATGTGATCAAGTATTGAAGCTGTATTGGTTGTAGTTCGAGTAGCATTTTCAGTTGTAATAGTATTTTGAATTTGATATCCATTTAACTCAACAGAGTTTTTATAATCTACTACAGCACCCGCATTTTTTAGCAAGTCCAAATTCACAATTTCACATCTCCAACTATTAAAGCACGGTTTTGTTGTCTCTCCAATAACTTATCGAATTCGGAAATGAAAGTCTGACACTTACTATGCGGAGGCCTATATAAACCATATATTGTTAAGTTCTGTCGAGGCAAGTACACAGAAACAATGTTGCAGTCTTCAATATTCACCAGGTGCCTCTGATTATGTATGAAGCAAAGTTCGTGCCAAATAAAAATGCTTGTTCGACCCCCTCAGGTTTCCCTACAGTCATGTAAGGCGACATAGGAAGGGAGATTAAAAAACTGCTTTTCATTTGGATACATCCAAGTTTCTGTTAATATGATTAGATGAATAGTTTTTTGACTATTTAAAACTATGTCTTTCAAGTCGTCAACCTTATTTCTTATACTTCTAATGTTTATATACAGAATATTTAATTTATCGTAGGTAGCCATTTTTCAGTCTTCAAGTTTTTTGTTATATACCTACATATTAAAAGGGATTTATATGTAGGTAGGTATTTAGTTGATCAGACAGCTTTCACTCTTTATCCTAATAGGTGGGTCTGAATCATTTTTTTTAATAAATATCCTACCATTTGCTACGAAGGCTGATTTAAGA